AGTCATTCAACCAAAGCAAGGTAAAACATTTTCATTTAAATAAGTCTAGAGAAGCACCGACATAAAAATATGATATCAATCTCCGATATCGGAGTTGCTTACCGATATTTACTGATGTTATTGATAATTCTCTACTGTTTTGACACCTTTGAAGGAAATAAAACGACCAAAACGCTTCTTTGTGTTGGATTAAATTTGCAGCTTTAGACTCAAAGCCACAATGTTTTTGTAGCATTTTGTACATTTTGAAAATGGATGTTTCATTTTTTCCAAGTTTTGTATTTGTCATTATTATCACTATTTCAAATGAAACCAGATAATTTTATTTTACTGAGAATTAATTTGGGTGAATTTTAACTTAATGCAAATAATTATTTCACAATATGCAAGAAAAAGAAAAGAAAGTTTATCCAACTCAAGCAGAATACTTAAAATACTTTTTATTATTCTGTTTTTCTGATTGATGCTCAGAAGAAATCTTTGTAAAATACACATATTTGAAAATATAAACTCAAGGAAGGAAGAAAACAAAGAAGAAATGAAACAAGAAGTGATATAAGGACAGAAACTAAGAAGCAAAAATTGCAAAAAAATTTACAAAAACAAGGAAGGAAAAAATGAGAAGATGGAAAATCCACAAGCAAGGACAAAATAAGAGAAGTAATACTGTGAAAGTGGAAGGAATGAAGAATTAAATAGGGATGGGCATTGATCGTATCACTTTTAATACATTTCTTTTGATAAATATTTTTTCTATTTTGTCACAGTAACTGGCAATTAATATTTAAAATTACCCCAAATTGTCAGAATTAGTTTTGCTGTTGTCTCATGTTTGTTCAATGAGGATTAGGGTTCAGGTTATCGATAAATACCAATAAGTTTGAAAATATGATTAAATAATGTGTGGAGCTTAGTGATACAAATCACACTTCTTTATGTGACTGAAAGATAGAATTACAAATATATTTATGGTATATAATATACTTAAAACATCAAAATTGATGTTTGTGTCATGCAATTTTGTCACTAATAACATTTTAGTCCAAATTAATTCAATTTCCGCTCTAAAAATGCTTCTTGAGATTCATCAAATGAGATGATTTCTCCAGTTCATTGTTTTAGTTTCTCTAGTGAACATAAAATGCTACAGCAGCTGATTTAGAGCCAACTTTGTGAATGTAACCCAACATGAGCAACTGGTTCAATAAAGAAGCTTCGTGTTTGAATAATTCGATAATCGATTAACAGCTAAGGGTTTGTGTTTCACTATCGGACAAAAACAATCATAAAACGCGTCATATTGTGTTACTTATGCGGATAAGAAAGCCGCTGATGTCGCAACAGAAATAAAACTGATTTCCTGTCATTAAAACAAACCCTGAAGCTTCGCTGAACATTTCTCCACCTCTGATTAGAGAATATTATCCTGTAATTCAGCTGTGGAAAGGTGAACTTACCGCTGAGTTTTCTGACTGTCCTTTCTGTGTTTCTGACTGAAAACTTTCGGTTTCACTTCGAAGGAAAAACAATGAGTCACTGAAGTACCGCCGTCTGTCCAGCAGGTGGCGGCGCTCTGTCGGTAATTGGAAGTAAAATCAACTCAAAACAGATTTTATCTTTTTTTTTTCTCCAGATAACACAAATAAACATTTAGCTGTGCACCTGTTTCACCTTTGTTATGTATATTTAAATGTCTTTCAGATGAAAAATGATGTTTTGGATCTAAACTTGTCTTTTATTTCAGTTTTAAAGTTAATTTTCTCTTGTTTTTTGTCTACAGCTGTGCTGGGTTTGAACTGAATCCGCAGCGATTCGTCATCCGGCTGTGTGGATCATCTGTATCTGCCCGGAGTGTCTGATCAGGGCCAGGACAGGAAGACGGCCCCTCCACAGGCCTCTGCCGTTGATAAATGAGCTGCTTGTGTCTGATGGAGTGGTCAGTGGGTAGATAACCTACATTTAGAAAAATGTGCTGGTTGTTTCGTCTTTATTGCCTCTGAAGTTCAGATTCCTGCCTGTTTTGATAGTTCAGCCTCAGTTTGTTACATTTGAATTGCTTCCTGGTTAAGTTTTTTCGCTGACGCTGCTGAACTGAGAGTGTCACCTCGGTTCTGGTTTATGGAGGTCAGAAAGGTTAAGTTTCTGTGTGATAAGCTACAATAAGACTTATGCTCAGGGAATGAGACAAAGGGTAAACTGATTTTATCATTTTTGATAGCGACGCTGAGAATCCAAGCTGTGGTCTCAGCAGAGAGTTGCGATTATAACATTTAATCACAGCGCCCTATCGCTGAGCTTCGCAGGCTTCTCGCCTGGAGGTTTGATTTACCCGCCCTCTTCCTGAGGAAAAATCTCATTCAGTAGACGGATTGCCGAGCAGCTCTCTCTGACTCGCCTCTATAAATCATTCTTTAATCAGAGGCCTGTGAGATTGGGCGCAGACACCCACAGGAGCTCCACGGCAACATCTCAACTCCTCCCTGTGTGTCTTTGCAGTCTGGGGAGTTTTCACCCTCCGCTGTTTTCCACCTTGGGCCTTGTCTGCATTTGTACCAGTCATCAGAAAAAACGAAGAGCGATGACCGCACACCGGTCCTCAAACACTTCCTCCGCTGGAGGGAAAGCTGTGCCAGATGAGATCAGTTCAGACTCAAATGAGGGAAACTCTGCTGGAGTGCAGGAGTTCAGGTCCACCTAAAGATCTTGTGGTGTGTCAGCAACCTGTGAGGAATGATGGGCTGATCCATTTTGCAACGCCATAACTACATCACAAGGAGAAGTTAATGCATCGTCATCCTGCTTGTTTTAGTTCTCTCCTTGTTCTTCTTAGGCCTCTAACGAGCCATCATTTGATCCAGGTGCGTAAAATCAGGGACAGAACTAAAACATGCAGCATAGTGGGCCCTGCAGGACCTACTTTGGGGATTCTGACTTAGACCTTCTCTCAGTGTTGCAGTTTGGCCTCCATCCATCTGAGGGCGCTGCTGATCATCCTTAAATAGGTCAGTTGATACATAAACAAAGATGTGGCGCCATGTCAGAATGAGAGACAGTCCAAACCGAGTCCAATGGGGTTCACAATTCACTCTATGCTGCTCTGTTAAAAATAAACACTCGACAAACTCCTTAACTCCATCATGCATGAATTATGATCCTTTATGTCAGGATTTTTTTTGGGATTTTCTTAAGACATAAAAAAGATGTAAAAAAAAAAGGATTGGAAAAAAAAATTCAGCGCATCAATCAATTGATAAGATCAGTCATCATTAGATTTACTCATTAATACATGACTTGCATCTGTGGGTCTGACATAACGAATGTTAAGATAACGGTACCAACTGCTAGCACGGTGGAGTTAGCATCAGGAACTGGTGAAGTTGGAGAACCCAGAGAGGAACCACCGCCACAAGGGCAGAACATGAAAACCCCATCCAGAAAGACGCCAGGTTGGGATTCGAACCCATCACCTCCGGGGCGCAAGGCAGCTTTAAATTAGCTACAATTTCTGATCAACATCTGGACAAAATTATTCCAGAATCTTTTTGATTTTCCTCATAATCACATGTTTTTATTCAGTTATGAAGTGAAAAGTGAAACAATTATCACATCTTTTCTGGGACGTACAGAATTTTATGCTTCTGGAAAAAGAAATCTTCCAAAAACGACGCTTTTAATCTTGCTGGAATGTTTGTCAGATTTGCTATTTAAAAATAGTCTAATTAGCAAGAATGAGAATCGGGTGTTTCTGGCCTGTTTTGCTGCAAAAAGTAATTAACTGGATTTAAATATTTAAAAAAAATGTCAAAAAAACGCTGAATTAATTCTCACCACAGGAGTTTGTTTTGGAGCTTCAGCCTGAGGAAAATGAAAAGATTTAATACTCAACTCGTGAAAAGTTGATTTATTTCAGTGATTTAGTTTTACAAACTGGATCTCAGATTATTTTCAAACGTTTATTTTTGTCACAGGAAGCAGGTGAACTCCCAAAATGTGTTAAAATTAAAAAGTAAACACTACATAAAATATATAAATTAACGTTTTTTTAAAACTTTAATTGTAAAGAAGCAGGTCATTCTTAGAGCTGTATTCTATAAAATAGATGAAAAGCTTAGTGGAAGGAAAAAGTGTGGCTTAAAGGATGTTTGACTGAAACATTAAGAAGCTTCACTGAAAAACCTGAAAAACCAGAACTCCAACTTTTAAAAAAGAGTTAATTTGTTTGTCAAACATTTTATTTGTGGTTGTTTTGTGGATCAGCAGGGTTCACTGAAAAACATGTTTCCTTCAATTAACTTAAAAAAATACTGTAATTTATTGATGCTAATTATTTATTATTTTGGTCAAGTTGTGATTCTGATTTGAATAATTCTGAGATCACAATGTGCAAAACTAATAAAATTGGATGTAACAAATTTTTAAGTGACTTCAAATGATTATTTTTTCCATTGTACATTCTTATGAGGCTGGAAATGTTAATTATTGTTGGTTATAGTTGCATTTCAACTGCTATTTATTTTGCTGTTGCGGTAAATTTTAGATATTGAGTCTCTTCCATTTTCAAACATCTTCATTGTACAAACTTTCCACCAACTAGAAACCTGGTGAGCGCAGATAACCAGAGGGAGTCGTTTATTTATTTATTTAAAGCAAACGTGCTCTGACGTCACCGTGTTGGAATATTTTTGCGCCACTCAGCTGGTTTGGAGCCGCCAGTCCGCGCATGTTTCCACAGAGCGCGCTGCGCTGCGCCGCGCTGCGCTCCGGCACCCCAGCCGTGCGTAAAGACCACAGAGACCTCCAGGGCTTTTACAACAGGATGTCGCCTTCCGGGTCAGCTCGAAGCGAACTGACGCCTTCCCTGGAGCTGAGCTGAGGAGATGGGAATCTGGATTCCTGAGTTGTTGAGCCTCCCGCCCTGTGGAGTGATGGAAGCACTGACCCAGTGCCAGTGTTTCTGAAGGTCTGTGTTGTCTCGGAGTCAGTTTTAGCTCCACCGCTGAAGCAGGTGAAGTAGTTAGTCAAGATGGGACGCCTGGGCAGTTAGAAAACCATGCACTGTTTGTCTAAATGGAGAGATGGCATGCGTGCTCATCTTCAGTCGACTTTCCCCGTTCTCACACCGGCTCAGAGGAACATCAATTTGTCTCTTATCTCTTTTTCTGTCGTTTCTGTGCTACTGTGCGCTGTTCCCCGGCGGTGCTGTCATGCAAAAGTCAGGTGATCCGACGCCCAGCTGTCTGCGAGCCGATGGAGCCAAACGGCGCCTTCAGAAATCCCCGTCCTGTCTGTTTCCGCCGGACGCCAGGAAGAGCAGCGCCGCTGACGAGGCTCCGCACCCGCAAGCCGACCCGAGGCGGGAGAACACCCCCAGCCCCGCGATGAGTCACCTGAAGTTCGGCAATAAAAAGTTGCCAAACGCCATCATTGTCGGCGTGAAGAAGGGAGGAACGAGGGCGGTGCTGGAGTTCATCAGGATTCATCCGGACGTCCGAGCGGCTGGAACCGAAACGCATTTCTTCGATCGAAATTATGATCGAGGTCTGGAATGGTACAGGTAAGAGCCAACCATAAGCGATCGATGCATGGACGTCTTCAGGCGTGGGATTATATTTCTACTGATTTTTTTTATTAAGTTTTCAGTGGAAAAAACAGGAAGTGAATCCCTGCAGTCACTGCAAAAACTCAAAATCTATCCAATTAGTTTTGGTCGAGTTTCTGGTGCAGAGATCTTAGCACACTTGGAATAAGACAAACAAAGTTAAAAGAAACTTTTCAGCAAGATTTAGAGGCTTGTTTTAGCAAATAATTCCTTAAAACTGATAACAACAAGTTCTACTTCCATAGACAGAGAAATTAACTAATGATAAAAATGTTTTTACAGTGAAATAATCTGCCAGTGGAAGACAAGCCTCTACAAGCAGCTAAAGCTTCTTAATGTTAAAGCAGCATCAAAACAAAGACATATTTGGCTTTTCAAAATAAAAGCACTTTCTAAAAGCACATAAAATGATTTGTAAATTGTCTTGAGATGAAGTGTAAACTGAATTGAATTGATTACATTACACATCCCTGTTTATTTTGTAGCTTGTATTCAGTAACACACATACAGATTAGTCAGAATCTCTAGCATTGGGCATATTTTATTCAACTTTATTCAACTTCCCAAACTGCATTTTCTTTCAAATAAACGTCTATATCATGTTTCTGGTCTTCAAAATAAAAGAAAGAAGCAACAAATAGGAACATTTTTCTTGAGTATTTTGGATTTACGGTGTCTCCAACTTCACCTTAAATCTGCTTTCAAACTGCAGCAAAAAACTGAAGGTTGAAATGTTTGTTGTTTATTGATAAAAAAACAAAGAGAAATACAAGTAGTTTATGGATGTAAACCATCACTTTAAATATGCAAGGCAGCCATCTTGAATGTCTGTGTAAAACACGTGTCAAACCCAAGGCCCGTGGGCCAAATCCGGCCCGCCGTAGCTTTTTATGTGACCATCCAGACTAAACACTAAGTGTGCTTAAATATCTTGTTGTCAGTCAAATCAAAGCAGTTTTTATCTGTTTACTGCCAAATGACATCAATCAGATCCTCCATTGTCTTGAGGATTACCGTGGAAATTCATGCAAAATCTCAAAAATTGTTAAAAACTTTCTTACTTGCACTAAACTGCTGTCTCATCTTAAATTGATGTCAGTTTATAGTCCAGGATCTATAATCTATAGTAATAAAATGTCACATTTACTGTCAAAAATAAACACAAATATTTCCATGGATTTTTAGTACCACAAAATCACAAAAAGGGACTGAGAAGATTATCAATATTATTATTTAATTTTAAGAATTTATTGATATTTTAACATTTTGTGATCAGGTTTTATCACTGTATTTTGGCACAGCCGGCCCGTTAAGAGCTTCCATGACCTTCATTTGGCCCAAAATGAAACAAAATATAATAAAACTTCTTGGTTAAAATACATTATTTGTCTGATTAACACCCCACACATGTAACATATCTTTAATTATTAAATTAGCAAAAGGAATATGTTTGTTTGTTGAGAAGAAAAATATGTATGACAACAACAAGTCCCTCTCATTTACGTTTTAAGACATGCTTCTTTAATGATTTGCTGTCTTGTAGTCTGCGGGGGAAACGTGTATACAATAATTACAGAGTGAAAGTTTCTCCACTAATTGGCGTTCTGCAGGATGTTTGGCAGCTGAAGCCCTTTTATCTCACTGCCGTCTTCCAGAGATGTGATCCCACAGGCCGTTTGACTGTCAGCTGTCAGAACTGGTAAAAGGTCAGACGCTTTGGAAACAAAACAGCGGTTTCATTAACAAAGTCCAATTCGTCGTCGGGAATCTTTTTGTTCTAAATCCGTAACTGACGGCGCTTTGTGCATGGCTTGTTTCAAGCAATATCCAAACAAAAGAATAAAGATTGCTGCAGTGAACTTGCCAAGCATCAGATGGTGGCTCTGCTGGCCAAGTTTCAGCTGCGCTAAAAGCCGCAGAGCAGAACCAGCTTGGCCAGGTCCTCCTGCGGAGAACAAATAACAGCAGAAAGACATTTATTTCTGTGTGCCGGTTTTGTTGTTTTCTATATAGTTTAATTTGTGCTCTGGGTACGACATCCTGTATGTTTAAACCCGGATTATTCAAATGGCTGAATTACTTGGTCGACACGTCATCATGTTCTGCAGGAGCGCTAATGACTCATTCATGGATTCAGATGTGTAAAACATGGAGAATATGTCTGATGACATCAGCACCAGATTGTGAGGCGTCCTTCAGAATTACAAAGCAACTTTAAGACCCAGCCAGAGCACTGATGGTACACTGAAAAACATGATTTAACTTCCAAATGCAATATAACTCAACAAGAAAATTGTTTTAGTTTTAACTCAGAAATTAAAGTTCATAAAGTTTATTTAACACCAAACGTTAAACATTGTTTTTTTTAAATTCAATACTCAATAATCTTGAATTGTGAGTTTTAACTTAATGCTAAATAATTATGTCACAATATGTAAGGGAAAAAAAACTGCCTTCACCCAGTTAAGAATACAAAAACATGCCGCTAAGCATTCTGGGAAATAGTTCCCACTCCTGTCTTCTCCATCAATATTAAGGAATTATTTCCTGGAAACAAGCTTCTATCTCTCTAAAGAGTTGTCTGTAAGTTTGTTCTGTCTTATGACAAGTTTGCTAAGATAATTGTTGTAGAAACTAGACCAGATTACGTGGTGAGATTTTGTGTTTTTGCAGTGCAGCCTGATGGTCGTCCAGACGGAAACTCTGTGCCAAACGTTTCCTCAACATCTGCAGTTGCATCTCCAAATGTGCTGCTAATAGTCATTCATTTTGTCAGAGAACAGACGAATACCAAAGTTTACTTTTCACGCTGCTTATGCAGCACCAGAACATCGTTGTGACTGGATTAACGAGGAACCAACTGTTAAAATATTAAAATAGATAATCAAATATTGAATAAATGTATCAGATCCAGAGTGTTTCAGAAATAAAACAGTGTAATATCCCAGAAAGGCGGATTATTTAAAAGATTCAATAGTTTATGATTCAATAGTTTATGGCTGCAATGTACAGATTGCTCTTTGTTCCTTTTTTATTGGTCTGACTGGTTATAATGTTTGGATCTGCTTTGCATTATTATTATCGCTAATATTCTGCTTATTCAGTCTTTTGAAACCCAAAAACATGATTGATCAGCCAATTTGAGAGGCAATTATAGTTTCACACAGGCCAGGTTTGCTTTGAAATTCATTAAAATTTTAAATTAAACTAAAACACAAGCACAATAAACTTATAAGAGCTCAGCTACTGTTTAGTGCTGGATTTAGAATAACAATTTCAACAAATGCTGATTGTCTTGAATCAGGAATTTATTGCAAAATAAACTTGTGGTTTGATTGATGGGAATCAATTCAGATCTAATAATAATAATAAATCATTTCAGGGTTTTTTGTTTGTTTGTTTGCTTTTTTGCTGATAAAATAAGAACATAATCTAATGTAAATAATCTTTTGTGACCATAAGCAGCTCAGTCTACTCTGAACAAACCGTCTGAAAACATTTACCCGTCCCACCATGACCTACTTTAAAGACCCAGAACCAACCTCTTTTATATATATAAATATATAAGTACATGTTCTGATTGCATTCATGGTGATTTATTACTCTTGAACAGTTCTGGGCTGATGTGCAGGGAAGCTGTCTACGACACGAGTCTCCAGCGACAACAAACCACCATGACTTTGTTCATTTATCCTCAAAATGAAGCCAAGTTTGAGTGGCTTTATTCACTCACTGTAATCCTGCCCTAAATATCTAATGTATGCAGTTCTGACTTGCCTTAATACTTTATTTTTGGTGGTAACTTTAGCAGCTTTGAACGTCATTGTTTTGTTTGTTAGAAGCTTTTCTCTCACTAGAAATCCTGCCATGTTCTTCACTTTGTCTTTCCATTCAGAGGTTTGATGCCAAGGACCCTTGAAAGCCAAATAACAATGGAGAAAACACCAAGCTACTTCGTGACCAAAGAGACGCCGCACCGGATCTCTGCCATGTCCCAGGAAACTAAGCTCATCGTTGTGGTGCGAGACCCGGTCACTCGAGCCATATCGGACTACACCCAGACTTTATCCAAAACGCCGGACCTGCCCAGCTTCCAGGACCTGGCCTTCAGAAACCAGAGCCTGGGGGCGGTGGACGTGTCGTGGAACGCCATCCGGATCGGCCTGTACGCGCTGCACCTCGAGAACTGGCTGCGCTACTTCCCCCTGGCTCAGATCCACTTCGTGAGCGGGGAGCGTCTCATCACGGACCCGGCCGGCGAGCTGGCCCGGGTGCAGGACTTCCTCGGGCTGAAGCGCATCGTCACCGACAAGCACTTCTATTTCAACCGCACCAAGGGCTTCCCTTGCCTTAAAAAGCCGGAGAGCAGCGGCTCGCCTCGCTGCCTGGGCAAGTCCAAGGGCAGAACTCACGTCCAGATAGACAGAGACGCCATCGAGCAGCTGAGAGATTTCTACCGGCCTTATAACGTCAAGTTCTACCAAATGGTGGGACACGACTTCAAATGGGAGTAGCTCTTGTTGAGACTTATTGTTACAGCGAATACAAAACGTCTACGCAGCTGCTGCAATGCCAGGGCTTTGTAAATAATGAGTCCAAGAAAAGTAACTTCAGAACTTTCTCCACCTTCACTGCAAAACATTTAATGATGGTTTAACTTGAAAATGAAACTCAGAAATTAAAGTTCATGAAGTTGATTTAACAACAAGAGACAAATTGTCTAAACATTGTTTTTAAGTTCATTAATCTTAAATTGTGAGTTTTAACTTAATGCTGCAATTCAACTAAAAAACAAAACTACCCAGTTAAACAGACACATTTCTCTATTATATTAATCACAATATCAAGTTTAAATAACTTATTTTACTGTAGAATAATTTAAATTCTTGTTTCAGATCACATGGATCAAATTTCTGATCTGATGATGAATTTTATTAAACATTTGAATGAATTCAGCTCAGAAATGAAATAATAGCCAGTAAGTTGTGTTAATAAAAATTTAACACAACTTACTGCTGTAAGTTTATCTTCCACAAACTCAAAACATTGAGGTTCAAAATCTAAAACTCACTACATTTATTTGACTTAAACAGTGGAAGATAGTAGACACAACTAAATATTTTACAGTGTTTAATATGAAACATACGCGGTTAAGAACTAAAACCTTTTTGGGGAAGACAAAACAATTTAAAACATTTCGTCCCATAACTAGATATGTTGTTTTTTCTCAATCACCTGGAAAACCTGAGGTCCACCGTGTTTTTTATTTAATTTTTTTTAAAATTCAGAGTTACACAGGCTGTGCACCACAGAGGCCCTCGCAACACAAAACTGGGATGTTTTTCTTAATATGCTACAAGAAAATATAAATTTAAAGCTTAGCAAATTTATAGCACCGCATCAATTTGTTTTTTTTTTTTTAAATAATACCTCTGGAAAGATTAATTTAAGAAGCAGTAACTATGCACATTCATTAACATTTTATAAGCCAAAAGTCCATTTTTCTTCTGTTTTTCCTGAATAATGAGTAACAAGCAGGTTACACGAAACAACGTTAAAATGACACAACCACACAAATTTGATCAATAAATAGAAATCGGTGCAATAAACCCGACTTTTCAGCAGAGATGTGCAGCCTTTTCATATCTGCTGTTTTCCAGTCAGAGTTTGCTTGATGCACAGCTGAAGTGGACGTCTTGTGTTGTTTGTCTCCAGACATTTTTCAGTAGTTTTTCTGATGGGACTCTTATAAACACAGACCTTGCAGTTCCAGCGGTCCGTTCCCAGCGTCAGCATCCTGTTTGTCGTCAGATAGAAGAACCCTTTGAGCTTTGGGATCACTTATTTCACTTAGTGCCGCCGTACATTCCTGCTGACCAGATTGCTGACTTTCTCACAAAGGGAAGCGATTCCAGGGAATAGGATTAGTTCCTCTTTAAGTCAGCTTCCCAGGCTTTAAAAGGATATAATCAAGGCTCGCCTTGAAAGCAAGACCTTGGAAAATGTCAGCGAAGTCTTTAGGGAGGGAAGCATTAAGCTGCTGTGCGATGGTGGGACGTCCAAACCGCAAGGCCACCGGGAGAAAAACCACCGGAAAAGAATCTGGACAGCGATTGTTACCCAGCATGACGCAAATTCAGTTAGCACATGACATCAAATCTGTTTACTTTTCTAAATGTGTTTCTGTTTCTGTTACGATGACATCAAATCACGTTAAGTTTGATTAATTGAAGCAGAAGGAGGCGCTCATTGTGACCGTTTTGATGCTGTTCCATTAAAAGGCTCGCCCTTGTTAGATCAACACTCAGAACGTCTGGATCTTTACTATTCCCGGCTCTGCTGATATCAGCTCGGATCGCAATTCGTTTGAGGTTTTATCGCGTCCACAACAAACAAGGTTTGTTGTGAGCTTAGAGGCTGATGATGGGTGGATGACTGGGTGTAGGTGGGAGGAATTTCAATCACTTCTCAAAGACAAAGCAAGGAACACTGAGTGGTTGGAGGTTATCAAATAGATTCTGGGACCGAGTGTCACATTATAGCAGCGAAAAGTTTGTGTTTGGTTACACTCTGTGAATACTAACGTCCATGTTTGTGTGCTTGCTGCAGAGGAATCTCACTTGCTGATGCATGAGCAAGGGGCTTATCTTGTGAACTGAAGAGGTGGGCTGTGTGTGGGTATGACACAAAATATTGCTATGCAGAATATTCAATACACGTTTTTAAAGCTCTGTGAGCTTTTCTGCCGTTTTAAGTGAGTGTTGCATTTTTTGTTTGTGAAAGAGGTGCAGCTTTACAAAGGGAATGTGGTGTTTGTAAAATTACTCTGTTAAAAATGATCAGCAATTTGAGTTATTTAGCCTGACAAGAGAAAAATAAATAGAAGGTTTGATTTTCAAACGCAGATTTTACCATGCTATTAATTAATTTGCATAAATGTAACAGTTTCAAACTAAATATTTAGTTTCAAACTAAATATTTGGCTCTGAGCTAAGCTAAATGCCTTGCTAGCTCAGCGCTACATTATAAATGAGTGAATCGTCCAAATGAATTTGAAAAATGAAGCAGTTATTTTCTCTCTAAATAATGACTTAATCCTGTAAATTCATAGCCGAATTATTGCTGTGAATTGTTAAATGTGTCATTTTACAAACATCAGTGAGTCGGAGTGAGCCAGCGTCGTGGCGCGTTCACACCAAACGCGTCACGAGGAGCGTCAGACGCGCTCAAATCGTGCCGCGCGAGACGCTGGGCCTCAACGGGCCCTGAACGCACCTCCACCAACCAGACGCTCAAAACTCGTTTGGTGTGAACGCACCTTTAGATTCTACGTCAACGTTAAAGTGGACTTCATATCATCAGTAAAATAACTATTTATCTTGCTGACTGTTTGCTAACAGCTAAAGTCTGTTTCTCCAAATTAGCTCAGTTAAGATAAAAAGGCTCAAATCAAGTCAACCTTTAATCCTAAAACTGAGACTTTTTTGATGCTGAAGCTCTGAAAATGTTTTATTGACTAATAACACTAATTAACAGCCATTTTTACTCTGTCCTCTTCATACTTCAGAAGCCAAGTGCTTTAATTTGTATGAGTACTGTTTCATCTCCCTCCTCCTTTTTTTATTTTCCATGTGCCGGAAAAAAAATGCTTTGAAGATTTCCAATGTCTGACGACTGAAATCCAGAAAGTCGAGCTCGGGAAACTTCTCATCTGTGCTATGTTTAGACTCTTATTCTCATTCTTCCACTCGGCTGCATTGGCTCACACAGCCGGTGCATTGTTAAAAGAAGAAAAAGATGTTCCTGCCTCTGTGACCCTCCCCTCAACCCAGACGTGTGCATTTTCTTCTCCGTTTCCCCTCAGAGTGTCTCTCTGTCCCAACATTCATTAAACCCGCAGGACCTCCAGGTGGAGGGAGGCTGCGCCGTGCGACCGCCGCCGCCTCCGACCGCCTCCTTGTCATCATTTCTCAGCCACGGCTTGATTCTCCATCTCTGAGCCTGCACAGGTGAGCCTGTTCCCAGTGGCGGCGATGAGCTGCAGCCCCCTCTGCTTGGTACACGGGGGTCCTAATTAGGCCTGAGAGCTGGAGGAAAGCAATCCCCGAGAACAAGCACCAGCCGGGCTCTGATTAGGCTCTGCTGCTGGACGGCTCTCCAGAGATTGCTTGCAGGTCAAATCTCTCTTTTTCTTTTTAGTTTTCCGTCTTACACACACACACACACACACACACACACACACACACACACACACACACACACACGCTCAGCTTCTTCTTTCAAACATAAATCCCCTGAGGATTTGTGAATTCCTTCGCCTTTCTGCGCATCAGGATATGACCCACATGCACTTAACTAATGAGGGGCTCATTACTCTGAACGATAATTTGATTGTAAAGAATCTTGATTAAATGGAACAATTTTCCTAACATGCTAATATGTTTGGATTTGATTTGTAATCAAAGATTTTCCCCACTGAGAACATGCTGAACATGAGCAGTTAGGAGAGTACAATCCTTTTTTTACATGAACCAAATCAAAATCTTGTCAGTGGCTGAAGACAGACTTTTTATTTATTCAGATGTCGGTGATGTTCCTGGTGATAATGTAGCTCATCTGTAATCCCGGTCGCTTAATGTCGCCTCAACCATTCGCGTTTTTAGATTTTTAATGAGGACGGAGGCAAAGATGGAGGCTTTCTCCCGAAAAGGAATCTTCCCTCAAATCAGCAGCACTGGGATCATTTTTTCATGTACTTGTTAACAATGCTGTAGCAAGTGTTAATGCACGCCTACAGGAAAACATAAATTACATACTGCTCTATTTAAGCAGCAGCAAATTTTAAGACTCTCTCTGTCCCTCTCTCTCTCGCGCGGCGTCTGCTTGTGATGTTCTCTAGGGATTGCACAAAGTTCCCTGCTATCTGAATGAGACAGCAGCTGACACTGCAGAGGCAGAGATTCAGCAGTGCACCTCATTCAGTCCTAATGTTTCAGAATAGTTTAGCTTCTGCAGCCGACAGGGTGTCCCAGTGGTCGAAATCACCAGTGGCGCAGGAGCCAAATTAAAATGAAGTGCTGACAACTATGGCAGAGTCACCAGCATGTAATGGTGCATGCTCTACAACTATTTGCAGACCAGAGTCAGAGCAGCGGGCAGCGGAGAGGACTCTTCACGAGCAGCGCCATGTGATGAGGCGAAGAAACTTTTAAACACAGCAAAAAAGTTAAAGACCTAATGCAAAAAAACCCAACAACTATTAATTCCACATTGAAATGCTTCGAAAGCACAATAAAGTCTAATGATTTTCTGCTTTTTAATGACTCATAATTGATGCTTTCCCAGAGAAAATGGTTGTTTGCATAAAAAATAGCTTAGAAATTAACTAAAAACTCAGAAATATTCAAAAATTTAAAGTGTCACACTGGATTGTGTCAAAAACTTAAAAATTAGCTCCTTGAAATGGTCTTCCCTTTTTTTTGAGGATTTTTCTCCCAGAGCACGTCTAAAATATTAAAAAGATAATGCAGCAAGGAGCTGAAATATTTAGCTGCACTGCTTTTTAACTCTATTTCCTGGTTTTTGCAAAGCAGCCAGTCCAGGAGCGTCAATCGTTTTCTCTTGATTTCCACCAAGACCTGAAATAAGAAAGACTGTAGATTTTAGCTTCTGTGGCAATAAGCTAAGCTGGTTTCCATTGTTCATATTAATATACTTAATAACAGGGTTTGAACTATTAAAATAGGAAGATATAAGAGTATTTAGAGGCAGGCATCAAGTATTCATGGATATTAGCCATTTATGTTCTGCAAAACGTAAAATCTGCTTTGTTTTTTTCTTTTTTGTCTAGTTTCTAGTGGAAATATCTTAAAACACTTGAAATAACACAAAACTAACTTAAAAGTAACTTTTCAAAAAGATATAGGAACTTGCTTTAAATCAATAACTCGTTAATATGCTTCAAAACTGGCAGATTATTTTATTTATAACATGGAGACGATGTCCTGTTCAGAGTGAAATAATCTGCCCACAGAACGAGTTTCAATCAATATCAAAGAAATGATTTATTTATCAACCTTCTGCATAGTGCTGAAAAGTTACTTGTTAATTAGTTTTGTCTTATTTATTAGCAGGAGAAACTAGAACAAAAACACTAAAGACTTTTGCAGCTTCACTGCCGCTAATGCAGTCGGTCAAAAATGAAATCCATTTTTTGGCATCTTGCAGCAAGAATGAAGAAAAATCCTCCAGAATTGATTTAATTCCTCCTTTCCCACCAAACAGAAGGGGACAAAATGGTTGTCGAAGTTAGCTAATGCTCAGTTTCAACCTGAAGTCACATTATTAGGAAACAAGGCGAACGTTTTTACCAGCTGAGAACAATAATCCTTCTCTTGCTAGATCTGCAGTCGTAGAGGTCAGAGTGTTGTTAGCGCCACCTGTGGATGTGTTTTAAGCAGAAAAAAGGCTAAACGGTGAACACGCCACTTCCTGCCGGAGCCTTTCATGTTTCACACCTGCGAAATTGAGGGAAGCGTTCAGCTCCAGCTCTTTGTTGTTACGTCTGTTTGTCTGACAACTCAGAGTCTTCTCTGAAGCAGCTAAAGTGAGATGGAGAGCTGATTAGACTGGAAGAGCAGTCAAACCTCAGTCTGTCTCACCAGGAGATGTGTCCTAATTAGAGCGTGTGCCTCGCGTCTCACTGAGAGCGAATAACAAGCCTCCTCCCGCAGCGGCCTGCAGACGAGGCAACCGGGCCTCTGATGCAGCGGAGAGCTCTGGACCTCAGACCTGAGCCGACTGACGCCTGATGAGACGGTCGGCTATCTGACAACAGCCAGAAAAAAAGAGAAAAGTGAAGGACAAACTTCAATGTGCTTAATAATGGAGTTTTAAGTGGTATTTTACGGAGCCCCTTTGGGGACTTGGAGGGTTTTTTCTTTTGCGTAATAAAGTACTGATCAGTTCATGCAGCATAATTTAATACTGAAAGTCTTACGGTAGCCGCCATCCTTCCTGCTACAACATAAGGTTTTCATAAGGTTATGTTAATATCTCGTTTGTGAGATATCTGAAGTTTTCTATCTTTTTCTGTAGGATTGAAATGCAACACAAACCTCTGTGCAAAAGCGAAGCAGATCAAACGTGGGATTTCCATCCCCTTTAAGACATAAACAGAAACTGTCCCTAAGAAAGTTTGTTTTTTACCCCGTGAGTTATTTTCACGAGGTAATAAAGTCATCTGACAGGTTTGATTGTCTCTGTTTTGTGCTGTTTGTCTGAATGGTTAATAAAGAGCCG